CTACTTAAACAACTCGGATCTGGAGTGGTAAGCGTTTCCCAGTCTACTTAAACAACTCGGATCTGGAGTGGTAAGCGTTTCCCAGTCTACTTAAACAACTCGGATCTGGAGTGGTAAGTATTTCCCAGTCTACTTAAACAACTCGGATCTGGAGTGGTAAGTGCTTCCCAGTCTACTTAAACAAACTCGGATCTGGAGTGGTAAGTGCTTCCCAGTCTACTTAAACAACTCGGATCTGGAGTGGTAAGTGCTTCCCAGTCTACTTAAACAACTCGGATTTGGAGTGGTAAGTGTTTCCCAGTCTACTTGCACAACTCGGATTTGGAGTGGTAAGTGCTTCCCAGTCTAACTCAGACCTGAAGTGGTAGATGTTTCTCCAACTATCTAAACAATTTGGATCTGGAGTGGTATGTGTTTCTCATAGTAATAATGATAAAAGAACACAATATCGTGTACAGCAATTAATGAAAAACCACAGTAAACGGAACAAACTGTCAGAAGTCTGATGTTTGGGAAACTAGTTTCAACACATTCGTGCTTCCTCTTCAGTCTCACGTTGTCTGCTGACTTCTGACAGTATGTTCCGTTTACTGTGTTTTTTCACTTAAGTGTTTCTCCTTTAACCAAGTAGTCTCCCGGGGTCTTTCCAACACTTTGTGTTCAGAGAATGACATTAAACATAATCCTAATCCTGCGATTTACTATCGATTATTTCAAATAAGATAATTAGAATATTAAATCCAAACATCGTGACGCTTTTTGTTGTATATCTTTGTGGTTACACATAATGATATTTAAATAATATCCTAACTTTCTTAACACAAACACACACACACACACACACACTGAAACTTACTTCCAGAGCCAAACGATTGTATTAATGCAAATTACGACCTACATCTCCAGGATGTATCTTTATAAACTCAATATTTCCTTAATACAGCATTCGCCAGTTTATTTGAAATTTAATTGTAAAACAGACATCGGTTCATCGGTACACGTGTCTAAAAGGTTCAGATCGTATTAAAATAATATCAAACATATTTCAATTAAAAATATATATATATTGAAATAAACCGAACCAACAAAAAACAGTGTACAGAGACTTCGTAAAAAATTCAAACATATTAGTAGCTTAAGAATACAATTAGCACCTCTAGAGTTGTGATACACTGGAGATATATATAGGTATA